AAACATTTTTTTAGTAAATTAATATCTAAAAGCTAAATTATTTATTAAAATAAAAAATAAAGATTGACTTATTTTACACAATCGACTTATATTTTGGTTCGTTGATTTTTTACTTTGTTGATTTATTTATACAGTTGATTTATTTTTTTTATATTCGTCGATTTAATATTCAGGTTCGTCGACTTATTTTAAATTATTGACTTATATTTTGTTTGATTGATTTTTTATTTTATCGACTTGTTTAACCATTGACTTATTTTATTTTTTTTTCGACTTAATWTTCAYRTTCYTCGACTTATTTTAAARTGTTGACWTATATTWRSTTTYKTTMAKATTTTWAGTTWTCGACTTATTTAAACCACTGACTTATTTTTGTTAATTCGTTGACTTAAAATTTTGTTTCATCGATCTATTTTAAACCATCAATTTATATTTTGATTGATTGACTTTTTACCTTGTCGACTTATTTAAACCATTGATTTAATTTTCTGTTCATCCACTTGACATATTATTATATAAATTAATTAAATTGTAAATTGTAAAATTAATTAAAATCAATTCCTTAGATATTTTATCAAAAACTTTTTTGTTAGATTATTAGATTACTAATAGATGGTTATATATTAGTTTTAAATATTATAAATCAATTTTTAAATAAAAACTAGAAAAATTAAATTTTTTTTTTCTAACGTAATCTTGTTAAATAAAGATGTAATTGTCATTTCAACTCTTAAAATATGGTATTTTTTAAAGTGTAACAAATTTGGTATAGATTTTAAATTTCCAATAAGATTTGGGATATACAAACCAATTTTTCCTATTTTATATTTCTTCAGCCCCCAAATCTTTTCTTTTTATGATTTTACCATCGTATGAAACGATGATGATAAAGGGAAAGCGAGAAATCGGGTTATTTGTATACCATATTTTTGTTAGTAAAGAAATATGACAACTTTTTGATTTAGGATCTTACAAAAAACGCATGCTTTCTAAAGTTGTACAAGATTCCCCAAAATGTTGGATCGGCACTGTCATTAAAGACAGATGCAATGGCATCGGCGCTTAGGGTTTAAGCTATATGCTCAACGATGCGATTTTATTGCTTTTTCTTAATGTTAACGTGAAAATGTACACACTTATATATACGAGGATTTTATGGTTGTTGTTAGTTGTTACATGACGATTATAGAGCTACTAGATTTTGATCCACGCCAAGCGTGGGATTACAATTTTAAATATATTTTATAATCGATCTTAATATTTAGACGTGTATTCTAATATTTCTAAACGTACAAAATGATATGTATTGTGAATAAATGTAATAAAATTAAAATTTTACCAAACATATTTCAATGTCATATGCTTTGATCAATTTTGCATAAAAATATAAAACTAATGCAAATGTTATTTATTTCAATTTATTTGAAGTGTCAAATTGAGTTTTATTATTTGTGTAAAATTATAGACTATGCGATAAATCAAATAAATTTTAGATTTATATAAATTTATCGAACGTAACAAACAAAAAATATATGTTTTCTAATAATAAAATGTAAAAATATTTATAAGTGTAGTTATCAACTACAAATAAATAATATTGTTAGAAATATAATAATAAAAAGCTTTTTAATATATCATTTAAAAAAATAGATGATATAGTAAGTCTAAATATTACATTTAGTTAAACTTAATGCTGTAAAATTTATATTAACGGGTTATGTCATAAAATTAATAAAAACATATAGAGATTTTCCCCATGGCATATTGTTTTAATTAAAATGTTTTCATTAGTTAATTTAAATGACATATTCCTTAAAACCCTCATTGAATAATACATATAATTTTTTCACCAATTGTCTATTCAATTAATATATAGAGGATTAGTGGCATTTAAAGAAAATTTCAAAATGATGACATTTTTGAAAAGTGGTATTTTTAAAAAATTCTCTACATTTTATCTAAGTATCATGCAAATTAATTTTTATAAGATAAAATATATTTATCTATACTGGAGATATATCTTTGTTATTTTTAATTTCTTTCGTATATTAAAAAAATCATGAAATTTTTTTTAATATCCTAACGCAAGTCAAAAAAATCTAAAAGTCATTGAAAAAAAGATATTCTCACATATACTTTATATTATTTAAATAAAATCTTCCATATTAATTATCACATATTCTTTACTTCCATATTTGTTTAATAGTTTTATATTGTATATATGATATAAATCTAGTCTAATTATTTACACAATAATGTCATTAAGAAGTTTTAATAGCTTTCATTAAAAGTTCCTTAAAATCTTCTTTGGTTGACACCTAGGATTTTCACCAAGTATCTTCTCTATTAATATACAGAGGATTGCTACAAATTTTGTACTCCAAGCTGTCCTTGACCATACTTCACAGAGATATTGTTGGAACAATGTCCAAGGGTGAATGAGAAGATTCAATTGCAAATCAGTTTGGGAGTGAAGGTAATACTTTCAAACTACTTCATAACTTTTTTATGGCCTTAAGGGAGAATCCTCTTCATCGCCAGGTCCGGTCCTACAAAATTTGGGGAATACAAAACTAAAATTTGAGGCCCAATATATCACCTAAATTGTTTGTTATTTTTCTTTTTACCAAGAATATACTAATA